ACAGTACAAAATATTCACACTATTGCTCTGTTTTCTTGCATTTTCTTTTAAATTTTTGAGTTCGTGTATTGACTTAAATATCATAAACGCATATCAAAAGTGGTGTCTTCGCTGACAACAAAATATACACTGTTTTGTCGCTTATGTTTCGATAATTTTATTTATTTAATTATATAATACATACCAAAAATAGTTTTCGTTTAATTGGTTTTTTGTTTTGAGTGAAATTTATTATATCAATAGTTTAGTGTTAAAAATTATCAAAGATATAAATAGCTCTCTCTCTCTCTCTCTCTCTCTCTCTCTCTCTAACCTCTCTCTAACATAGAGTTGATTAGATTTTACAGTTGTTTCGGTGTTGACTTTAAACATAAAAATAATTCATTTATTTCATTGTTTCAAACATTAGAGTCTCGCAACAAATGGAGTGAAGGAATGACAGAAAGAGATGTAGAGATGTTATAGTCTATAGATATAAGTGATGCGAACGGAGAGAGCAATTGAATGTTGATTTCGAAAGAGATATTTATCTCAAGAATGAGAGAGTGATTGTGTTGTTCAGCAATAACTATGTCCTTTGTATGACCCTTTGACTAGTGCACCGGTAGCTCATTTAGTTAATTAGTTGTGTGTACAGACATTTTTGGACGCTGACAACAAAATATACACTGTTTTGTCGCTTATGTTTCGATAATTTTATTTATTTAATTATATAATACATACCAAAAATAGTTTTCGTTTAATTGGTTTTTTGTTTTGAGTGAAATTTATTATAGTTTAGTGTTAAAAATTATCAAAGATATAAATAGCTCTCTCTCTCTCTCTCTCTCTCTCTCTCAGAATAGAGTTGATTAGATTTTACAGTTGTTTCGGTGTTGACTTTAAACATAAAAATAATTCATTTATTTCATTGTTTCAAACATTAGAGTCGAGCAACAAATGGAGTGAAGGAATGGCAGAAAGAGATGCAGAGATGTTATAGTCTATAGATATAAGTGATGCGAACGGAGAGAGCAATTGAATGTTGATTTCGAAACAGATATTTATCTCAAGAATGAGAGAGTGATTGTGTTGTTCAGCAATAACTATGTCCTTTGTATGACCCTTTGACTAGTGCACCGGTAGCTCATTTAGTTAATTAGTTGTGTGTACAGACATTTTTGGCCTAATAAAGGGCATCTCGAATGCAGAATCGTATTTATAATATAAATGTCAGTTGCCTTTCAGTGCCTTAAAGTGTATTACAGTTAAGTCTTGTCTAATAACAAGAATAGGAATATAAGAGTGCATTGAATGAAGTGCTCTGTGTTTCAGACATTCATTGCGAGCCGTATATTGCGATACAAGTCTTCAGGCGTACCACACATTCAATTGCATTGGACTTACATTTTGATGTATTTCTGTATTAGTCCGCAGAGAATAACACATTTCAGTGGCTATGGCTTCGGCACTGACTTTAATTGCGGACAATCACTGAATGGGTCCACAAATCAGGAAATTGTGTGCTTTTCGATGAATGCATCGCTAAAACTCACACAACATATCACACTATTTCTTATGATTCTTCTCTCATCTCTTATACCCTTTTTTGTCACAACTTTTATATATAAATCACGTAAAAGTCTTAAATATGATTTCATTTCCGGCCAAAACTCATACTAACATATTAATTATATTTATTAAAAGTATGAGGTTTAGTCGCAACTGCCGTATATAATAGAAAAATAAATATAATTATCTTGTTATTTTATATGAAATCATTTGGTTTTATTAAATGCATTCAATTTAAATGCTTTGATTCCTATTTAACTTGAATTTCAAGTAAAACCAAATGCTTTCCATTCATTAATTTGCATATAAAATAGATTATAGACATAAAAATTAGTTTCATTTTGTCCTCAAGTCATGCATACCTTACCATCAAATGTAATACTTGTTTGAAGAGTGATATTATTATTTAAATTGATATTATGTTAGTTAAGAAATAGTTATTATAAAAGTGAAGCACACATTGAATGCATGAATACATTAGTTTCTGGTTGTGAAATATACCAGAAGATGGTTTGCAAACAAAAATAGCACTAAATATATGGCAGTGAGAGGATAGTGAGAGGGAAGGGAAGGGATGTTCAGACACTTGAACGCTATGTTTATCTAATTTGCCGGCGGATCAGACGTAAGGTATTTGATAAAAACACATTGAATTACCGTTTCGTTTCTAATTCACAGTCAAACGTACAATAAGTTTTTTGATACAATTTATGGTTAGTTTATGAAATAATTTGTTGTATGAAATATACATTTATTGAGTAAAACTTATGCTTTTATTACAAATGATATGTAACACAACATACTGTATATATTGAAGTGTATTATGTAGTATTAGGAAATATAGATAATTCAGCAATGTGTTTTCTCAAATCATTGTGTTAACTTTGTTACTGTGAACTCTAACACGATTTTTCTTAAAAGAAAAATATTTATACTCTTAAGAGAAAACATTTTATACGTATATTTCATGATCAGAGTGACAGTCAAGCGCTGCCAACAAAATGCAATACATTTTATAACTGTTTCTTATTGTATACACGTTTACGTCATTTTTCACTCTACTGTTCAGTATTTTTTGTTAATTTTTTCGTTTGTGTGTTCAGTTATAATCCTTTATAACTAATACGTATAAGCATTAATTCTTATATAATATACTAATCTATGAAATATATGACACATTAATTCTTGTTACAACATATTGTTTCCCTAATACTTAACTAATGATAAAGTTGAGGCAATTATCAGTTAATCTTTTTAAGAATATTCTGGACATGGATTAGACCCAAAACATAGTGTAAATCACATATTGATGTATTGTGTACTATAATATTCATTGAGATTATGGGTCCACAAACCAGTGGACATCAGCTGTGATACCATTTCATCTAAATATTGGCCATACATTTGGATGTTTTGAGTGAATGGTATTCGTTTCGGTGATCAATCTTTATTACACGAGAGAGAGAGAGAGAGAGAGTGAGAGAGAGAGAGAGAGAGAGAGAGACTGTGACTTTTTAGGGCTCTCTGAGTAACGGGTCTGTGAGGCCTGTAATATGATTCAGACCTGGATGATATATCAGCGAAATGGATGAACGCGTCTTTGAATACAAATCCAATAATAGCGTGCATTGAAGGCATTGACGGCATTGTGTCTGTTATACTCGTATTGACCGGCAATCGGGTGCAGAAGGCATGGAGAGACCCACAGCCAGAAGCCAAGCCTTGGCATCAATTTATTTTGATTTGGTCGACGTTTTTACATACACTCTATTCTTCACTTATTTTTATATCTCTCTTTCCAATAATATTTTGGCTCAAAAAACTGTTTTCAGACATAATATTTCACTCAATTTTATTTTTTATTTTTTTCTCTCCTCATTCATCTCTCTCTCTCTCTCTCTCTCTCTCTCTCTCTCTCTCCAAATGCATTTCATATGAATATTGAATGCATTGTCGATGTATTGCTTAAAACTATACTCCGATAACTCTTTGCTCATAACATTTAAATCTGAATAAAGTGTAGAATAAGTTAAACAGTTTTATATAGTTTTTACTCGTGTTTCAATATATTACTGTACATAATACATCTGGATAAAGTAATTTGTTGTTTTATATTTCACGTCTTTATCTCTAAAATCTAATAGGATTTCCATGTTTTGACAATTCAAACGAAGCCATCAGTGAGTTAGCGATCAAATAAAAGCTATTAGCCTTTCATACCATTTATATAATATACCGCATAATCTAAGAGCACATTCCCACTAAATACCAGTGCCATACGCTTATGCATTATGAATGATGAGCTTATATTCGCGTAACATATCATAAAATAGGCTATTCATATGAGTTGTACACAACGGTCGGTGCTCTCAACTCGGAATCTACACAAAACTGTTATATAATTACTCCCTTTATATGTTATGCTATTTGTTTTGAGCCGCCGATGCCTTCGGAATACTAGAGTTGCCTAAAGTTTGCACTTAAATACAAACAAAGACATCAATTGGCTGTTTATGATGTCAATTGCGGCTTAAAAATAGCATTTTAGGCACTTTTCCTCATTTTTTAAATTTTGATAACCAATGAAACGCAAGAAAACTTCTCAATATTTATTAAAATTCGTCTCAAAAAACCAAATCCCAAAACATACTCAATATTCTGGTGCTTAGTGTTTAGTCATCTCTTCTAATGATTTATAAGTTATTCTGTAAAATAACATGAAATTTAAACAAAACTTATTATTCTGTACTCTATTTATGTATTGACGCAAAGTTGCGATTAAATACATGTTTTTATGGATTTATGCGAACGTTTTATTAATAATTTAATGGTACCAAGAAATTATATGTAAAAAACTTAACAATAATGTGGCCGTAAATGAGATGAGAATTCCATAACATGTTTGGGAAAAGTAGTGTATTTTCATCGCCAAAACAAACTTATAGCCGAGACCTAAGTTAGTGTTAAACAGCACTTTGTTTGACTCAATGATGCACTGAATGAAATGTTTCCGTTGGGTTCTCTCACACGAGTTGTTTGTGCCCTTAAAATATTGTTTTGTGTTCCTTGAGACAGATTTACTCCGGGCTTCAGCGCCTGTATTAAATGAATGCCATTTCTCCAGTAATAACTATGTCTTATGACTTGTTTGGGTCATCACATCTCATGAATCGGTTCAATAAATCTTATAAATTAGTTTTCATACGTCTATTGCCGGGCTATAGTGGTGAAGGGTTGACTAAATCTCCAGCGTAGGCACACAATCCCCTATCATCCACTTCCCCAATGTCTGTCGGCGAGCCACTACATACTGTACGCTACATACACTTCATATGCCATTTCCCATCCGAGAAATTCCGTTAATTTATGCCATAGTTTTAGTGCGAAAAACAAGTATTTTATAGTTTTTGTGTCACTTTATTCTTGCAGTTCATAAATCATAGAAAGCGATGGCGAAGAAGAAGAAGTCGATCGCCAAACCATCGGTCGAGCGAACAGAACACACAAATAATTACTGGAAATGTCTTCTCAATAGGACTGACACCCCATTCAATGGAGAAGCGCTGAAACACGAGTGCAGAATAGGAATATACGGCTGGAGAAAGAAATTCCTATACATTTTAATCATATTAATTGCAGCGCTGGTGGTACTCAACGCCGCGCTAACTCTTTGGATCATATCTGTACTCAATTTCTCTATGGTATTACAGCTCTCTCTCTCTCTCTCTCTCTCTCTCTCTCTCTCATTTGCTTTCTAAAATACATAAATATTAATTGCATTAAAGAAACTTTTCGTTGAAACTTATTAATTATATCATAGGAATGTGTTATGTATTTCTCATACATACTTATAATATGATAGCTCTCTCTCTCTCTCTCTCTCTCTCTCTCGTGTTTTGCAATTAATAATAATTTCATAAATTTATTATTCACAAGCATTTTGAATTAAATCTAATGTTTTATATATTCTGCTGTTTTTGTACCACTAGAATGGTTTGGCAAATATGAGGGTAGACTCGGATGGCCTGACACTCAATGGCAACGCATTCATTGACGACCATTTATTTGCCACTTCTATCAGCTCTAGAAAAGTATTGAATTTCATATTAAAATGCATACAAAAAATTAATGATTCTTTCGCTGAAATAAAGTTTTCTCTTAATTAATGTGTTTCTTCATTTAGAAAATAATAGTTTCTTATATTGTCTTTTAAATTAAATTAATGTCTCATTTTTACCCCAAAGACAGATAATTTTTCTAATAAAATGTGATAAAAATTAATTAACATTTTTCATTATTTATAAGTTTTTTGTGAACTAATTATCGCACAAGAAATAATGAGATCGTGTTTTATATAAAATTAAATCTGAGAAAGTTTTTATTTCACACACATTATTTTTTAAAATATTTTCTATTTGCCAGTATATCAGTCAATTATTAGTTTAATTGTTTGATAGCAACAAATTCAGACATATTTTCACTCAATTCATCTCAACAGAAAATTAGGGCATTAATTATCTGTCGATAAGGAGTCCCAGTTTGTGTGACATTCACTCATTGCAAACACTCTTAATAAAAATGATGAGATAATTATCGTTATGTTTCACAATGAATTCAAACGTAATCTCCGATTGACTTTTTAAATAGATATTGAAATGTGAAAACTGATAACTTCATGAATTCATTGAACTTTTAGGACCAGTCATTGAGACTGATATCTGAGGACAACATAACTTTAATCGCCAGAAGCAGTAGTGATGGAAAGGTTGCCAATAAAATATCGATCGGAAACTCGAGATTGCGGGCCATATCTAATGACTTCCGTATTAATGGCAGAGACGGGAGGCTATTGTTTGGCGTTAATGAGGACAAAGTGACCGTCGCTACCGACACACTGCAAGTGGACAGTAGGTGTTGTCCCACTAATTTAATTCACATAAAAACTTTTATATCTCAATATTCTGTATTAAAAAGGAATTTTTATTTTTACCAAAATAATGCCACATTGAGGCATAACATTAGTTTTAATAAGTTTTGTTTATTTGCGACAATTTAATTAATGACTAAATGTTTGAAAACAACATTTGATTTGAACCCAGACTTAAGCGGATTGCGATTCTCGCGGTCCATTCAGACGCCGCTAATACAGGCTATGGGACACTCAGACCTCAAACTAATATCACCGGAACGTCGGGTCAGTCTCTTAGCGCCAATCAGTATCGCAATGGAGTCACGACTGGGAGATGTGTCGGCCATAAGTCTTAAAGATTTACGACTGAAGTCAAAACAGGGAAAAGTATGTTTATTATTGGAAAGGCATTTACATTAACATTAGAGACACACATATGTATCTCATGTGTGATCTGCAAAAACAACTCCTAATACCGTAATTCACTCTATTTTTGTGCAAACTTTTAGATAACGTTAGAGTCGAAAGATATACAGTTCAGAAATCTTCATCTGGCAATACCTACACAAACAGCTCGACACCAGTTCTCCTCAAATGTGTACCAACTATGCGTTTGTGCCGATAGTGGAAAGGTATTCACTGCACCGGCAGATAAAGTTTGCGCCGCAAACGAAACTATTTGCGGCCCAAAGCATACGTACAAAACAATTATCTCCTGATTATACAGTTTAATGCCTTAAGTGATTAAAAATGTCTCTCTTTTTCTTATTGTTGTTTTGCTCTCTCTCTATGTCTCTCTCTCTCTCTCTCTCTCTCTCTCTTCATCCAAATACTTGTTATTTAAGTTTTTGACTTCCATTGGACTCCACTCTTATGCTGTGTTTCACTCAACCCTTCATTCAATTCACTGATTCACTCCTCCCTAACACTTCTTTTACTGTTAATATGATTTGTTTTCATGAATTTTTCTATTCAAAGGAATTTTATTTGTTTTGTTATTCACTCCACACTTATTAAAAGTCGATATATTTTTATCAAACAAAACGATTTCGATATAATTATTACCTTTAATTTATCGATAATTGCCGGGAAGGCATGTATGCGAATATTGTTCATATCAATTGTATTGGAAAAGTGTCGACAAAATACTCTCTACAACCTAATACTGTATTATAATATGTAGTGGAAATCAATTTGTAATGAAATTCTCAATAAATTGTTGTACATCTAGTCATATAATGATTGTTTCATTTGATTCTGCATTTAATGAGTAATTTCTGCTGAATTCTTCACTTTGGATGACGACATGAAAAGTGAAACATTTATCGAGTATTGTCTGAATATCAAGTATTTTGTAAGTATCCATTTGTTTTATTATATTTTATATGTTTACTTTATATTTAATGCGAATTTATACTTTTTAATATAAAGTTATAAATAAATATAAATTCATTTATTTGTTATAATTTTATATTTATTTTAATAAAATTGTAAAGTAAGTTATTATTATTATTTTTCATTTATATCTAATCAAATAAAGTCTAAGTTATAAAGGAGTTTTGATTTTAAATTTCAATTGTATTATGACTTATAATTTATAAGTGTTTGTCTGGATATCTAATAATAGTTTAGTGAGTGAGTGAGTGAGTGAGAGAGAGAGAGAGAGAGAGACATTTTTAATCACTTAAGGCATTAAACTGTATAATCAGGAGATAGTGAAACACAGCATAAGAGTGGAGTCCAATGGAAGTCAAAAACTTAAATAACAAGTATTTGGATGAAGAGAGAGAGAGAGAGAGAGAGAGAATGAGAAACAAAGAAAAAGATTAAAATATTTCTATTAAAATAACTTAGAAACCAATTTGTCTGAATACTTAAACAAAATATTTTATCTTAAATTGGCATTATTTGCGCAAAGAATATTCTGTGTATAGAATAGCGAGTTACACCTATTGAGCAACACTGCATTTAAATCTTAGGGAACAATCGATCAAAAAATGCCTTTTCTTTGAGATATGAAAATATATTTTTATACATATTTTAATATATTATCGCAAACATTGAAATAATATTGTTTTTGTGGACTTATTTTGCATTACAATAATCCACATCATAAACTGGTGGTATAATAGATGTATGTGTTATAAATTATAATAAAACAAATATTTGTGTTGTCAACCGATAATTAGGTTTTTCATAAATTCATATTAACTCTAATCATACCTGTACATTCATTTAATACCACACATAAAAATATAACACAAAATGATAATAAGCTTATTATAGGTTAATGTTTTGTAAAATAATTCCTCATAGAGTAAAAAATATAATTCTCAGGCAATAAAAAGTTTTGGATATTTTTAAAAGCACATTATTATGTGGCTGTAAACAGCTATTAATGGAATTAAAATACAAAATGTAATAAAGTTTATTTAATTTTTATTGTCGCCACTAAAAAGATAATTACAGAAAATAATGTATAATCCGAGACACAAATACCAAAATGTGCTAAAAATCTGAGGCTTATAATGAGATACTGTAAATTACATAATACAATGTTACAATGGTTACGTGCAATATATCATACTCATCGCTAATAACTAAATCAATGACTAATAGAAAAAAACATTATATTAATTAAAATTTACTTTATAAGTATTATAACAAAAATATTTACAATTTATTTGTTTTGCGTTATATAAATTGTGTTTTAAATGAATCCACAAATGAATGCAAACAAATAATAAAAATAGCGATTTATAACGAAACGAATTGAGTTCATGAATACAATTATACAGCAAATTGTCATTTTTAAATTCACGTAAAAACAAAAACTAAAATCCCTTATCTTGAGATTAATTTCTCTCAACAGATGATAATTTTTTTCAATTAATTTTAATTAAATCTTTTTGTTTGGTTTTTTGTTTGGGCTTTTGTTTTGTTTTGTATGTTACGGTTAAATAATTTCAAAATAGCGTATAATTGACATCTCCTTAATTTAATTATATAACTAATTCACTGATCACTGACACCCTTTCGCTTCTATGGGCACAATATAATTCTATTGTTAGGGCACAGGGATGTGAACATAAGGACCACCTTATGTTTGGTGTATGAAATGCAAATTTATTTCATTTTAGTTGCTTTTAATCCATTTGAATTGCTTTTAATAAATGAGTTAAACAACAAATAAAACAATAAGTTGTACAGATTTTTATGCATAATTGCATTAATATATCATTTATTCTGGTATTTATGCTTTTATTCACTTTTTAATGGGGTTTAACTTTGCTTTAAATATAAGTTTTATTATACAATTGAGAAATTTGGTTGAATCTAAATGCTAGACTGAGTTCAACGGTTAGCCGGGAACTGTAGGTGTCATAGCCATATAAGAGACATCCAACTTTTAATTGCAAAATAATGTCTATATATCCCGGCTTACAGATTAGGACATTAATTAGGCATACATTTTGTCTGTTGGCACATATAAGCTATTATATTCATATTCTAGTCTTTGCATAACATTTGAATTGTAAACTTAATTTACATTTTATGTTTAAATTTTATATCTTATTAACTTAAAGTATTCGTATAGTCTCTGTAATTCATTACTTTCTAAGATATCTGAAAACTATAATAATTTTGCGTAATAAATGCTCACATAATGATAGCAATTCATCTGAAATATTTTTGGCGACAAACGAAACATTAAATTAAATGCAATATTAAATCAAAAGATCATTGAATGTATGAATGCATATGAAGAGTGAAATTATGCAACGAATGGTAAAAATGTTGACTATTTTCTAACGGATAGTCTAACCGACAGTTTCTATTGTGGGAAAAGTTTCTCATAACAATTGCGACCAAAAACACAGCGTTTAAGCCCTGAGGCTATGAATTAATGCAATCATTAATAAAAAGAGAGAAGACTCCAGTAGACTATTATGACATAATGACATACCAGGCCTGATGACACCTACTTTTGTGTCTACAATACGGTGTATTACTACTGTGGCAGTATTTTCGAGCTCAATGTCATCCCATTTAGATATAAACAGTGGACTCAACTCCGGAATAAAGTTATTAACACATGAATTGAATGTTAAAAACAAAACACACACTGAAAAACAATTTTTGAATTGCATTTTATGTATGTTTTTGGCGATTCGTGTCTAAAGAGATGTATTTCTTTCGGAACAGAGAGTAACCAAAAGTGCATTTCATTATAACTATATTTAATACATTTATTGTAATCATACCTCTATTAGTATTACTGGAGGTATGCGTCTGTGTATACCAAATGAATTGTATACACGAATAGTCCGCACATTTCCTTAAATCATATTTAACTCATTTATCACTCGCTTTTAGATTTACATTTCAATTATAGGTTACTTCTCATAGGGTTGTACTGTATAAATAGATTTGTGAGTATTTTCTCAAAAACAAATCGATTACAATCAAAAACAATGAGTTGAATGCTGTGTATGGAAAAAAGTTTAATAAACTTTTCAAATAGGAAAATTACAATTAAATGGCAAATGATATCTCATATCAGGTTTAAGTCCATTTTTAAAAATAACATTCTTATCAGACAAATGTTGGTTTCGTGTGTTGTGTGAGTAAAACAAATACAATTACAATTTAAATCTATAGTTAATAGCCTATCGATAATGAAGAGCTTATAAAATATTGGAAAAGATTAGTTTCGTTTGACAGCCATTTCCTACTAAATATCGATAACAATCATTCAATCAATAAATTTCTTTTACATTAATTCCCTATAATTACATATTATATCTGTTTTATATTAATCTTACATAATAAATAAATATATGTATCAAATATATTTTAAAGAATTTTATCCAAAAATTATTTGAATTTTACAAGAATTTACATTTGAATGAAAATTTTTGTGTGGGAATAATGATTGAGAGACAGTGTGTGTATAAAAATAAGAAAAATTAAAAAGATTGTATAATGAGTTAAATGGTTTTAAAGAAACATAATTATAAATGTGTAGATAATATAGTTTGATAATCATCGCCGACTACCTGTGTTATTATACCTGTGCATAGGTTTGTGTTAAGAAAAAGAAATACAACCAACTCTGTCATCAATGAGATAACAATCTCTTAATAAACTATTTTTAATATCAAATAATGTGTTCACAATTCAAACACAAAAAGTTTGCCAAACTTCGAGAAACTTGTCTTCACAACAGGTATTGTTTGAGGTATTGAACACACGGTATATACCAATACTATACACATTATGGCAGCACTTTATCGATAGGCTGCCAGCGCCGAGGGGAACGACACACTCGCATACCAGTGCTATGAGAGTGTAATAGCTTAGGAATGCGAGTGGAGTGCAGTTTTCACGTCATAACAAGTTTTTTGTGCTGTATTTCTGGGCAAACACTGTGTGTTGTGTTCACTGTTTGAATGCAAACACAATGTTATGCTATGGCCTATGAATTGGCGCTCATATGCCATACATAATGAATAAAATGCATTCATTGCTGTCATGTTAGGCCACTATAGCTACGGCCCAATGGCTTCACATCACTTCACCAATCATTCAATGACTTCATAGACAATAATCGCACCAAATATTTGTTACTTTTTATTTTGATTTTACTTTTTCTGTGAAGTTTTTAATGTTCAGTTTGTCGGCATTCATGACACCAGTGCTTGTCTTATGTATACATTTGCTTATCATTTGTGTTTCATTTGATTAGTTATTATTTTCACACCAATAGTGCCATTCATTCATTACAAATGCATTGCAATCCCATTGTGTGTGTAAAACAATGTGTCATTCAATTCAATGCAATAGTGAACCGATTGTGTGAATGAAGTAAATGTTGAAAATATTGCAAACATTCAATACTAAGGTTTGTCTACAAATATAACCATGATCAATATATGATACCACTTGTTAGGTGTCATATAATTCATAGCAAATATTTGCATTATATTTACGTCTAATGTCTGTCTATATGTGTCTCTATATAGCAGTGAATGATATGTTTTTAATGATAATTAAACCATAAAATAGCGATTAGTTTTAAATAGTATAGATTTGAAATGTAAATTAAATATACCTATCTTATTTATGTGTGAATTTTAATTATGCCCCACAATTATGCCATCGACTATTGCCCATACAATTTAAATCTATAGTTAATAGCCTATCGATAATGAAGAGCTTATAAAATATTGGAAAAGATTAGTTTCGTTTGACAGCCATTTCCTACTAAATATCGATAACAATCATTCAATCAATAAATTTGTTTTATATTAATTCCCTATAATTACATATTATATCTGTTTTATATTAATCTTACATAAAAAATAAATATATGTATCAAATATTTTTTAAAGAATTTTATCCAAAAATTATTTGAATTTTACAAGAATTAACATTTGAATGAAAATTTTTGTGTGGGAATAATGATTGAGAGACAGTGTGTGTATAAAAATAAGAAAAATTAAAAAGATTGTATAATGAGTTAAATGGCTTTAAAGAAACATAATTATAAATGTGTAGATAATATAGTTTGATAATCATCGCCGACTACCTGTGCTATTATACCTGTGCATAGGTTTGTGTTAAGAAAAAAATACAACCAACTCTGTCATCAATGAGATAACAATCTCTTAATAAACTATTTTTAATATCAAATAATGTGTTCACAATTCAAACACAAAAAGTTTGCAAACTTTGAGAAACTTGTCTTCACAACAGGTATTGTCTGAGGTATTGAACACACGGTATATACCAATACTATACACATTATGGCAGCACTTTATCGATAGGCTGCCAGCGCCGAGGGGAACGACACACTCGCATACCAGTGCTATGAGAGTGTAATAGCTTAGGAATGCGAGTAGAACACACGGTATATACCAATACTATACACATTATGGCAGCACTTTATCGATAGGCTGCCAGCGCCGAGGGGAACGACACACTCGCATACCAGTGCTATGAGAGTGTAATAGCTTAGGAATGCGAGTTTCATGCAGTTTTCACGTCATAACAAGTTTTTTGTGCTGTATTTCTGGGCAAACAGTGTGTTGTGTTCACTGTTTGAATGCTGCACACAATGTTATGCTATGGCCGTAGAATTGGCGCTCATATGCCATACATAATGAATAAAATGCATTCATTGCTGTCATGTTAGGCCACTATAGCTATGGCCCAATGGCTTCACATCACTTCACCAATCATTCAATGACTTCATAGACAATAATCGCACCAAATATTTGTTACTTTTTATTTTGATTTGACTTTTTTCTGTCAAGTTTTTAATGTTCAGTTTGTCGGCATTCATGACACCAGTGCTTGTCTTGTGTATACATTTGCTTATCATTTGTGTTTCATTTGATTAGTTATTATTTTCACACCAATTGTGCCATTCATTCATTACAAATGCATTGCAATCTCATTGTGTGTGTAAAACAATGTGTCATTCATTTCAATACAATAGTGAACCGATTGTGTGAATGAAGTAAATGTTGAAAATATTGCAAACATTCAATACTAAGGTTTGTCTACAAATATAACCAATATAACCATGATCATTGATCAATATGTGATATTATATACCACTTGTTAGGTGTCATATAATTCATAGCAAATATTTGCATTATATTTACGTCTAATGTCTGTCTATATGTGTCTCTATATAGCAGTTAATGATATGTTTTTAATGATAATTAAACCATAAAATAGCGATTAGTTTTAAATAGTATTTGATTTGAAATGTAAATTAAATATATCTTATTTATGTGTGAATTTTAATTATGCCCCATAATTATGCCATCGACTATTGCCCCCCAATATGCTACCCACCCGTTCCCTATGCCATACCAGTGCCCGTCATATCTTATCTAATATACCCATCCCATAGTCCTCTGCCCCCAAAATATATGAAATTTTATGTGAAATTATTTTTAAATTTACTTAAATATCCGATACATTCAGTGATGGATATGTTTTACAGCAGATTACGAGTCAGTGTTTTGCATATTTTTAATTAAATTATGATTAGTTTTTGTGATTTTCAATTTCAGACATTACTGTACACTTGAATTACATTTTTTTTGTTCACATAGTTATTGCCAAAAATAATATAATATTTCGTATTAATAGAAATAATAATAAACCCATTTTTTCGTGACTAGAATCCAGAGGTATTTTTCCCTAAAAATACATTATTTTTGTTTTTAAATGTATTTTTTGCACATTTATTAACACACTATGCGAGCGAAAAAGTTTTGAAAATTTTTGTGATTAATTGGTTTTATCTTTAAATTATAATTTAGTTTTTCCCGAAAAATAGTTTTATTTTGTAGTTATATTCACGAAAAAGGAGTTGAATTTTTATTTTATAAATTTTAAAATTATTAAACAGAGAGAGAGAGAGAGAGAGAGAGAGAGAGAGAGAATTTGTGACAATTATTTGTATGAAAAAACTAAATAAAATTATTATTTTCCCCAAAAATATTTGTTAGCTTGTATTATAAAAGTTTAAATCAAATTAAACACAAAAAGCATTTGTGAAAAGAGTTATTATGTTATAGAGAGAAAAAAGTTGTTTCAAACAAATCTTTTATCAAAAGTTAATGATATTTGTTATGAACCACAAAACGAAACGCTACACAAAAAAGAGTTTTTCAAATGTTTTTGTTGTTATTATTATTATTTCTATTTTTCTAAATGAATGTTTAGTTTTCTCTTTCATATTAGATATCAGATTTCATTGTATGAATGCATTCACCAAAAGGCTAAAAAATATTTCATTTCACATGTTATTTCAAACAGAATATAATGTTATTTATATTTTTGTTTCGTTTGCTCATACAGTATGTCAAGAAATATTATCTTTTATTATCCATTATTTTTATTTTAATTGCTTTTTTGGGCTGTTCTCTAACACCGAGGGCTTATAGCCTTTTAGCATTTTTTCGTCTTATAAGCAAAAAAATTTAATAAACTTTTGCCAAAAAAGAGTGAAACAATAATTGCATTCAATGCTAAACTAATCAATAAAATGGTTTTTATATCAATGATTTTTGTAGGCTTTTGTTTTTCACTACTTGGATGTGAAACAGTAAAATCTTATTTCCATTAAAACTTCGAGTTTTTTAATTAAATGATTAGAAAAAGTGCTTTTTAGATATGATAGGAAAACAGGACTTCCTGGCAAACAATTTCCTTTCCATTTGGTGTCTCATCACTGGTAGGCCTACGATAATACCGGCGCACAGATGGATGGCTCACGACATTAGGCTAAACGACAGTTGATTTTTTCAAATTTCCCATTTATCCTGGCAAACAATTTCCTTTCCATTTGGTGTCTCATCACTGGTAGGCCTACGATAATACCGGCGCACAGATGGATGGCTCACGACATTAGGCTAAACGACAGTTGATTTTTTCAAATTTCCCATTTGATTTCAATCGTAGCCTAATACAGTCAATTAAAATGATAAAAATAGTATCTAGATTAGGAAAACATTTTGCAAACTTCACTCTACATTCAATGGTATTGTCACATAAAATCTCTCTGACAACAGACTACTATTTTCCGACTGTTTGTCTAATTATCGCAATTTTTTCACTCTTTAAACCATTTATTCAATTTTCAGGTCTAGTGGAGTCGTGTACTCTCTATTGAATTGTGGGCTAATTTTATGCGTGAATAAAATAGTCCATAATTTTTGCTAATTCCTTGTCAGGAGTCGTAATTGAGTTTTAATACTGTCTTGAAGTTCACGTGTGTTTATAAAGTGTGAGAAAAATTAATTTTTAAACGACTATTAAGTGAAATGATTAAATGAATAGAAAGAGTGTACGCAATGACAGCTATTATCATAATAATTGTCTTTTGTCTCGATGCACACGAAAGTGAGAGTTATTTGAATGCAAAGCTCCACTAATTTATTGTTAAAAACTTTTTTGTGGTCTGAAAGCTCTCATTAGGTCTCATTCATAATTACGATAACTGTAATGCCATCAATGAAATGTCAGTTTATTTATTAGCCATAAATTTGTGTTTAAATTATATTTAATTGTCTTTTCAATTACTCTTATTATATTTGCTCTTTTTATTATTATTTGCATTGTTAAGTTTAATTACAGCAAAAGTATACCATATTTGTGCTATTTTGCTATATTTGTAGTATAATAAAATATTTCGCGTAATTAGTAATGAAATATTTATAATAATTTTTTCCTATTATGTTTAGATGACAGCCGAGGGTCGACGCAGTGAAGTCATACTATTGGACGGCAGACGAGTTGAGCTGATTATTCAGGTAACTAAATACAGTATATTATCTTTATGTTTATACCATAATTAATATCGAAAAATATGAAACTATTTTCTAATTATTAATTTTAGTTTTGCAGATAATTTCCACGAAAACTATTTGAATATCTCCAGCAGACAGTGCAGTAGTAATAGTTGTTATGATATTTAATACATTATTAGATAACAAGATATTTTTGTTTTCTAATTTTGCTCATCGATAGGACTATGTAATCGATTTTCAGTAAATATTTGTGCTAAACTTTTTTATTTTGTATTCAAATAGTTTTCGTAACCACTGGTTTTATGGATTTAAATTTTATTTTATCGTTATTTAAATTCTGGAAACATATAATTGATATTTGAATTTATTGGAAAAATGATCACTAATTTTGCTTTTATTTTTATGTTATTCAATCGATAGCCAAAACTATTTGCTGGAGATTTGTTTGATATCGTGTCCTCACATTTCAACCTCAAAGAGAAAGAGTACTTCGGATTAGCCTTTTTGGATGAGACGTAAGCATACTGTCCAACACAATACCTAACCATAAATTAATCGATTGTTCATTTGTTTGCATATATGGCACTGTATGGTTGGCTACGATATTGGTTGATACCATGGGATCAGATGCCAGTATTCATGGCTTAATTTAGACAAAAGGGTCCTAGAGCACGAATACGCCAAAAAGCATACTCACGAAAAGCTTATTTTACACTTTTTGGTTAAGTAAGCATACTTTTTAATATGTTTATCGTACATATCTCCACCTCTACCCCTCCCGACCCCTTCACCTCATTATAAGTCGTGTAATAAAACGCATAAAATTGAAATGAAATTTATTTTTACTAAATTTCCTTAAATTTTATTATTATTTCTAATTTATTGGGTTTTTAATCCTTTGATGTAATCTGTTGTTTGTTTTTGTGTTTTATAGATATTTCGTGGAGAGTATAACACAACTGAACGATACGGCGAGTGTTGAGCTCTTCTATCTTCAGGCCAAATCACTGGTCGCTAATGTGAGTCCACATGTCTTTCCCCTCCGTATTATCGTCTAATTTACGTCTAAACCGCTCAACACTTTCCTAATATACACACAACAAAAGAGTTATTGTTTCCGCAATTGTTATGCAAAATCTGTTCAGACTTTTGCTGCCATGAAAATCGGTCTCAAATTTGTCGACTAAAATAATTCCCAAAACAAACAATTTCAATGTCTGTCTGTTTTGGTTGAGAAAGTCTTTGACTCGACTTTATCGCAACCTTTCAGTTCATTTCAGTCCTACAGTCCTAATGATAACAATAACATTACTATTGCCGTCAATATTATGATTACATATTTTATTACATAATATTGTAAAGTAATGTTAAGTATGAGTTGAATAAACTATTGAATTTCAATATGTTTTCAACACTTTTTTCATCTGTGAATACATTTGTATAAAAAGAGGTATAAAAATATTGAAAATAATTGATAGTCTCATGCAATCAGAAAATATTTTCTTTGAAATTATTGTGATTTATGATTGAAACTATTTTTTTCAATCATTTCTTTGATTTTAAAATTTATTTTCCAATTTCTAGATTTTGTTTTTTTTGAGTTTATAGTAATGGTAATAAATCTCACAATAATTTGCTCCCAAATGAGTCTATTAATCAACATTTTTCGCATTCATTTGTGAATTTAACCTAAATTTATGTGACTTTCGTTTGCATTGAATGATTGCAAACTATTTTCCAAACGTATCTCAACATTAATATTAACTAAACACTACTCTCGCAACAAAAATACATTTGTCGTCAAAAACCCTAATTAGAAAAACATTTTCACTTTAGTTTAGAGTTTCAAATTCAATAATAATTAGACTTTAATGCTATTATGCATTAGGAGACTAGCGTTTGCCGGGGGGACGGGTATGGGGTCTGAGGCAGGAATTTTCAGAGGTATATCACAACCATATGGTCGTCCACTTTCGTGATGACGTCCATACACGCGATTCAATTATTATGAACGTTATTTAGTATTTTTGTATTCCCTTTCCTTTAACGATAATATTAATAATTATTTTAATGATGTTTTTTCAGTTTGAATTGCTTTTTATGAGAAACAGATTTTCTGTTAGTTTTGTTAAAATTTATATTTAATAGTAATTTGCTTTTGACACATATTTTCTCGTTTAATTGTGTTGTTGTTATAATGTATTCAATGCTTTTTATTATTAAATATGTTTTGTTTTATTTGATATTTTTCTCATAAAATCTAGTTTTTCTAATGAAATATTTCTCTCATATTTAATATGAAAATTCAATGTTTTTGCTTTTACTGATTAGTTTGCAAAACATTAAGTCTATTGCCAACAAATATCATTATTATTAATGATAAACAGATGCTCTCTTAAGACTTTCAGATAACTGTTTGCCCTTAAACTCGACCAAAAAATACTTGATTTGCTTTTTTTATTTGCTGAGACACTCACTGATTACACGAGTGTTCAAAGTCAGAGATAAAACTATTTTTGAATATAAATCCCTTCTCTCCCTATCTCTGAAACATACAAACATTTGTCGCGTTTCTATAATACACACAATAAAACAACTTTTCGGGAATAAACTCCTAATTGGAGTCTTCCTGTACTGAACACTACATGATATAACTTACACACAGTGTATGTGCCCATCAGTACCGGAGCACCCGTTTGTTTGCCTCCCATATGTCTCCTACACTCGACTCCATCGTAATGTTTATCTAATCTATTCATTGAATGAAACACTTATTTGTTATGCAAATAGAGTTCTATTAATATATATTCAAATGAACAGGAATTACCAGTGTACTGTACTATACATGTATACTAATGTATATACTTTTTGTTATTTTAAATTTTTGTTGTTTTTTAATCGCTAAGAATAACATAACTAATCAAACAAAACATGCCTTAAATGTATTCTTAAACTTAAAAGTTTTAATAGAGTTTAGAGTTTCGGGAAATATATTCCGTTGGTTAGTGTGAATACATTGTCTGCATATTGTATAACACAAAGTGCTTATTATTAATCAAAAGCATATAAGCACTCATCGATCAAAAAGCACTGCATTTTCTCGAGAGTAAGTTTTGTCTTAAAATAATTGTCTTTTATATATAGACTGCGATAATGTATTGTAAGAGATTAGCCATCGGTTCGTTTGAATGCAATTAATTTGCAAATAATAGGCTCTCAGGAGTCAGTTGTTAACAAAAAACACATTTTCTCTTCTCACTTGGACTCCAATCGCGTAATCCTTATCACAGATTTTCATCACTAAAAGTAGATATGAATCACAGGAATACAGGAATTCATGACTAATTTTTTTATTAGGAAATATATTTTCCCACTTTTTTGCACAACTTTTTGTGTTTCGAAACACTGTTTTCTTCTTGTTTTGATCACTCGTTTTGTTTATGCTTTTTCTTAATGATATGAGTTTTAAAGGGAAAAAACGGCTGACTTTGAGCTCAATATTTAGTTTTGATTGTTAATTATATTGATAATTGTAAACGTGATTGCAGTGAACATAAAGGTTTGCCTTTTAAACCTGTGATAATTAGCATAGAATTTGCATTCAATTGGGATTTCAATACTGAATAAATAGATATTAAATACAAATGAATTGCAGATCCGCTGCCGAATCAGTTTCACACGAATTCATATGAATTGAAATATATATACAATAAGTTTTTAGGAGGGGTTCGGCATTTGTTACACTCGATTGGGAACAACATTCCAACACTACATGTAGTTTGTGTGTTGACTGCAATTGAATAAAAGGCAAAAAACTTTTTTCGTTGCATTTGTAGAAAAAAATCTCAATTATCTGTAACTAAAAAAGGGAACGAAAGCATAAAAGTTGTTGTTTTGAATCCCAAACCCATCGCCAATAGAGCTATACTTGCCATCAAATCCAAACCCAAACAACAAATTTCTTATTTCTGTCGTGAAATTACCATTAATTGATGTCTTAAGGAGCAGTGGATACGGATTGCGAGGGGACTGTATGGGCGATAGAAATGAATGAATGAACGTATTCTGTAATTTGTTTGGACACGAATTCCTGATTGATTATTAGGAGTGATAACTATTTTTATTGCCCAAAATCTGGGTATGCCTTCAGTTCATCGAAAAATAAGACTAAAATGAAATTATAATTTCATTTGGCATTGAAGTGAATGTAATGCTCTCTTCTATTATAAGAATTATTATCTTATATATGAGTTGATGACCATAACTGCCTGTGCCATAAGGGGAGAGCCAACTAAGATATAGTGGAGAGAGAGAGAGAGAGAGAGAGAGAGAGCGAGCGAGTGGGAAGTGCTCACCGAATATCTTGTGTGAGAGGTTTAGGCACTGGTAGGTTTAGGCACTGGTGTGTGTATATTGTATGAGTTCTCTGTGAATCGTGTTGTGAAGCACTTGTATCTCAAGACTTTAGCAGTAGTGGTGGTGTTGTGTCTCTCAATCACTTGGATTTCCAGTTGTGGTTGCAGTGCCTGTGCTGTAAGCGCTCACTCACTCACAGCTCTAAATACCATTCAATAGACAAATATATCGTCAATACCTATGTGTGCCGTCTGTGTGAGCACTTGAATACGTTTTTTACGCATATCTGGTGCGAGAAATACCTTATATTCACATCTCAGATGAGATTCAGTGCGAAGTGGTGTCGATAATATTTTTGTGAAACCGTGTGATAAATATTTGGTTTACTATTTATAGTAAAGTAAGTCTTTTACGCTTTTAAACTGCTTTTTTCCGTATTAATTAATAAGTTTCTTAATATATTTATTAAATTTTTCAGCACTTGTTCAAAATGTTTTATTCAATACGATTGTTAGCATTTTTAGCCCTAAAATTAATTACTCGTTTAAAACAGTGCTATTTCTGTCGATAAAACAGGATTTTTACTCCGAATTAGGATTTCCTAACGAATTAATCGTTAAATAATTTACTGAAAAAAGCATTTGATGTATAATTTATTGAATCATTTACTGCACCGAAGGGTTAGCTATATGTTATGCTTTGAGCGCAAAATAAAATATACACTCAAATGGTGTATAGTTTTCTGACGTTCAATAAACTCGACACAAACCTTGTTAATTCATTGCAAATATCAATTTTCAAACCGAAAATTGTTGCCTTAATTCAGTAGTCATTTGACGCGAACCTGTTTACCGAGTATTTTGTATTTCATTTGTGTTTATATTTATTGATTTGTATTTTTCTATGCATTCCTTTCCGCTGTAAGATATATACAATATTTCCAGGCAAAAAATTTTCAATTTCTCTCTCTCTCTCTCTCTCTCTCTCTCTCTCGACTGTTTTTATACACGATATGTAATTGTCATCCGAAATATCAAAAATCATTTTTCATCTCAAGAGTAATCAATATCTGTTTTGTGGCACAAGTTTTTTCACTCATTTTTTGCTCATCTCTTGGTTATAATTGAAGCCAACGTTCGCTGAGTTTTTTTATATTCATTACTTTTCATGCCAATGAAATGATTATTTACTCGCTTTGAGACAAATATTGATTGTCATGGCTCTCCTGAATATCTTTTTTAATATTGATTTTACTGATGACTTCGCATAAATCCAATGCAAACAAACCTCTTTTTGGGTGCAAATGTGTCTCAGTCTTTGAGCACAATATTCGTCGGATACACTCATATCCTTAATACTAAAAAGTCAAATATTATGTGAATGTTTTTGAAGGCATAAGAAATATTTTCCCCGCAATTCTTGACATTTTTCATCCAATTCTCGCACTCAATGTGTGTATCCCTTCCTATGAGTTATAGTTATTGTGTTTCAAACTGTGCGCTAATATTATAACTTATATATTGTATGTATGTCTCACTCATACGGACTCGCAGACAATGATCTCTTTGGGAGTGAAAGTCTGGAAAGAATTTCTATTCACTACAGAAAAACCGTTTTTCAGACTATTTTTTGGGTTTTATTCTTAAACATTACTTTTCAGGAGATTTATAATAACTCTCCCTTAGAAATCGGTAATATCTCTCTCTCTCTCTCTCTCTCTCTCTCTCTCTCGCCATATGACTGACTGATCTCTTAAATAGATCGCCCTTAAGCTCGTAATATAAATATATTGTGTCAGTACCTCCTGTCCCTCTCTGGGAGTATAGATCTTTAGGCCTTAAAATGTCATTTAATTCAATAAATAAATGATATTTAATTTTGAAGCCAAATATTTCTCGGTTTCTACACCTTTTTGGAGACCATTTATTAAATTTTATGACAAATTTTCACGTTTTCGCCAAACATTTGAGCGAAAAAATTAAAAGTTATTTTCGATTAAAATTCCGCCAAAAAATTGATTTTTAACGCGAGCCCCGGTATCTTATCTAAAAATGTGAGTCAAATGAGTGTTGAGTTTTGAGCTTTTATATATTGTGAATAGTCTACCATTTCCACTATTCTTATCAGATATTTGTCAAAATAATAATAAATTTTTTCTGAAGTTTTTTCTCTCATTAAGAACTCCTAAACTATAATTTATTCTTTAAGTTTAGATTTTTTATGAGTTATATCTAGACTTGAAAAACTCGCATTCATTTACTCCTACGTTAGGCTCTCTCTCTCTCTCTCTCTCTCTCTCTCTCGCCGATGATATAATGTTTATTTGAAAAATATTTTAGTCTTTTTACTGTACATAAAGTTATTTTTACTTTTATTTCTTTAATTATTTGGTTGTATCGTTCACTCTAACCCTGTATTTATAAGATATGTTAAGAAATCAAACCTTTATTTATCATAATTACAACTTAAAAGATATTTCTCGATCCATTCATTATTTATTAGCATAAAACTTATTAAAACTATGCTATCATTTAAGAGTATAATTTAATTTTAGTGCAAAACAGTTCAATATGTAAAATATACCTGTTGTTGAATATTCAAAAATGTGTTTTTTAATCGCATACTAACTTATAATCACTTATTATGAACACATCTCTCCTTACAATCTCTTTGTTTCCTTAATATTCATTATTCTTCAGGAGATAATTAAATTCACATTTAAGTGTTCATACCATACCATACCATACCATACCGTCCGTTCCCTTATGCCATAACAAAAAAGAGTAGTAAATGTTTAGTAATAATTTTGAATTCAAACTTTGAGTTAAAAGTTTAATTTTATTTTATCTTTTCAAGTGAAATATATTTTCTAAACTTTTATTATTTTTTACGTCTCTTATGCAATATATTTATGTGTTGTATTAGTGGGAGTGTATGGGGTTTGTTGACCCACAGCACCCAATAAATAGCTCTTTTCTGTTGTTTTATTTTTATAAACATTTTTTTGTGTTTCAAATTGAGAACGTGTTTAATATATAATACACTGTCTTATTATAAGCCGTGGATATTGTTTTAAGCAACTCTTGTGTTGTGTGTATCTTATCTTAGTATCCATTCATAGCATTCATTCACTCATAACATTGTGTTTCTGTCTGTTTGTGTGGAACAGGAGGTAATCCAAGTCTACGCGGACACTGTCTTCCTATTATCGGCTCTGGTATTGCAGTCAACTCATGGCGATTATGTTAAGTAAGTATTCAATTCGTGCACCAAAACTGGCAATTGCTTTTATTATTGCACACTAATACTATTATGATAATTGTATTATCGCGTACAATTGATTTTTTCGTATTACCAGTTTCGTTGTATTCATAAGTATTTTTAGACTTTGATTTAGCGATAAATAGTTTACTGAGTATAACGAGTCTTATTATATAACATGTCTTATGTCTTATATACGAGTGTAGAGTAGAGTAGAGAACAGAGAATTAGATTTTTTGTGTTGAGATAATGAAAAAGTAGTGTTTTTTGTTATGTCAGTCGTGTTGAGTACTTATCTTTCATTAATCAACTTTTTTAAAGCAAAACTTAGATTTTATTTTGTCTGTTATCTCTCTCTCCGGTATTCTTACGCTTTATTTTTGTCCTTAAAACTAGTGATTCAAAAACGAGAGCCCATCTGAAGAAACTGCAGTTAATACCGACTTATATACTGAAGGAATTGCCATCTCTTCAAGTCTGGTGAGTACTGTCACTGTCTATCAGTGCATCAGTTCATCAAAAAAGAAAACTAATACTCCTTTTTATAAGATTTTTATATAACTTAAATATATTTCTCATTTTCCGTATCTAAAAATAAATTCCATATAATTTATTGAATGCCCAAACTCTATGCCCATTAAACATAAAAATATTTTAATTCAATAACTCTTGAATAAACTTGTCTTATGTTTTATATAAAAATTCTTTTCAAAAAGCTCTTAAATTCAATTTTATATGATTTTCTACAGACCATTATTATAGTTAGTGTATTAGATTTTGTTTTATGCGGAGAAATATACTCATGAAATATCCGCATTGTATGCGAGAGAGAGAGAGAGAGAGAGAGAGAGAGAGAATGTCATTAAAGTTATCTAATTTTGGAAATGTTTTCTCATTGAATGTCTGTTAAGTGAGGAGAAGGTAATTGAAGAGTACAAAGAGCTGAGGGGTCAAAGTCGTGGCCATGCGATCGTCAAATATATGTCAATAATTGAAAAGCAACCGACATATGGGGTACACTTCTATGAGATCAAAGTAAGCCATTCATGCATTCATACTATTGATTAGTTTTTGAATGAATATTTCATTCAATTGTCTGTATTAGACATGTTTTTTGTTTTACACAACTTTAGCGCTTATTATATTATATAATATCGTAGCGAATGTGAAATAACAGTGTTTTTTAATTTTCTCGTTGTTTTCGCTACCCGTGCGCTCATGAAAAGGATAAAACAGGTATTCCGTATTGGCTTGGACTGAGCTATAAAGGCATCAATCAATTTGATTACAACGATAGACGTATTCCGCGTCGAAATTTCCAGTGGAAACAACTCGAGAACCTGTACTTCAGAGAGAAGAAGTTCTCCATCGAAGTCAGAGATCCAAAACGGTATGTCCATTGCTATTCACTTCTAACATACAGTATACTCCCAGTTTAGTCATACTATGTTTTGCAATCACTGTATCACAATCAAAGTATTTACCTTTTGATTGCTAGTATATTTGTCTTTAAGTGGCAAACATTTATGTTTTCAACAAAACGTTTGGTATTTTAATGATTAGATATCATATCATATTTTATTTATTAGTCATTTAAATATAAGTTTTCCGTTTACGACTGCAATCTTAGATACTTCAGTACTTTGAGAGTATATTTTAGCGCCTTTTATACTACATTGCGGTTTCGTGTGCTATTCATTTGGCTCAAGTAGTAGTGATCCGAGTGCTGTACGAATGCAATTAAGTGCAATACTTTATCCCCTATTTGTGCCGTTTTTAATGTGTATTTTCATCGGATTTCATACTTAGAAGTCAAGTGAAACTCGAATCAAAAGCGATTTGTTTTTGAAACCAAATCTTTTTGGTGAATAGAGAAGCAGTTAGTCTTCGCTGACTCGTGAATTGAATGTGTGTTTCACTCCTCGCACTCTAGTGTTATATTCAGTACACAAACTCCCGGTGCGTTTGGATTGTAATGAGACCTCTCTCCTCCTAAGTCACCCAAAATTCTTGACTACCATTGAAGTCCTTTTGAACACGATTTTTGAAACGTTCGCTTATATTGAGGAACTATTTTTGGAGTCATTATTATCACTGGTTTTTGTATTCAATAATAAAGTTCTTGTATTGCATTTGCATTCATAATATTTTGCACAACAATTTTTACACAAAAAGCACTTTTCTCTGTTGCACTCAAAACTTCACGATATGTTCACTTTGAAAGAGTTTTGATGATCCGTACGTTTAGTGCCTATTGAATGCCCTATTCTTGTTCACCAATTCATGTTGTGTGCCATTCCCTGATCACAAATGCCATTCCCCTCTCTATCTCCATAGTGTTGTGCATACATTAAGTTCAATCAATTTATATGAGAACGCAATCGAGGAGTCGATCGACACGTTTGACGATCTCTCGACCGCAATCACTGATCCAACGACACAGTAAGTGCACCCAATCATCCATTACGGA